GGGTCCCATAGCTCTCAGTCTCTCATCATAAGGCCTATTTTCTTGCCCTCTGATCATGCGCGTGGCTCTCCTCTGGACCCTCTCAAGCTTCTCCGCTTCCTTTTTAAATTGTGGAGCACAGAATCGTATGCAGTACTCCAGCTGTGGCCTCACCAAGGCCAAGTACAGTGGGAGGATGACATCCTGGGCTTTGCTTGAGAAGCATCTATGGATGCAAGCCAGAGTTTTGCTCACTTTACCAGCTGCAACATCACATTGGTGGCTCATATTCATCTTATGGTCAATCATGACCCCCCAAGTCCCTTTCGGCCATGGTGCTAGCAAGCGTAGCACCGCCGAGCTTATAAGCATGCTGCAGGTTTTTCTTCCCAAGGTGTAGTACTTTGCATTTTTTGGTGTTGAAAGTCATCAGGTTTTCATCTGCCCATTTTCTGAGCCTGTCAAGGTTGGCCTGGATCACCATCTTGTCCTCAGGTGCGGATGTTTTACCCTAAAGTTTGGTGTCATCGGTGAACTTGGCCACTCCGCTTCTGATTCCAATGTCCACATCATTAATGAAGATGTTAAAGAGTATATGCCCAAGGACGGAGCCTTGTGGGACCCCACTGGTCACAGCGCACCATGATGTTTAACTTCCATGAACTACCACTCTCTGGGTCTGATCTTAGACCCAATTTCCCAGCCACTAGACTGTGATGTAGCTGAGGCCGCAGTTGGCCAGTTTTTCTATGAGATGATCATGGGATACCAGATCAAAGGCTTTTTTCAAATCAAGATATATGACGTCAATCTCTTTTTCCTTGTCCAGGTGATAGGTCACCTGGTCGTAGAAGGAGATGAAATTGGTCAAGCACGACCTACCCGCAACAAACCCGTGCTGGCTGTCCCTCAGGATGTTGCCATCAGCCAGTTTGTTGCGAATGGTCTCTTTGATGATTTTTTCCAAGATCTTTCCTGGGATAGAGGTCAGGCAGATGGTCAACAGGGGACTGCAATATCATACATTTGTTATATGTTCTTCAGAGACTATACCAAGGGAAGCTAACCTGCAGCACACAGGCCAAAAAAGTTATGGGCGGCTGCTGTGTGGGGAACATGAGCCAGAATGGATTCAGGGGCCTCAAGCCTCTGGCCACATGGAGTAGGGTAGGATGCTGCTGTGAGAGGAGGTATTAGGTGTCACTGCCAAGAGCCAGGTCAACCTGGTCCTGCAGCCACTGATGAATTCAGGGCTTTGGATCCTTGCTTGTCATTTAAAACAGTGATGGTTGCGGGACCGGGGAAAGGTTAACCTGGCTCTAGGCAGCGACACCTCTCACAGCAAGCCTCCTGCTTCTCTGCAGGGCTGAAGCTCAAATCCCTGCCTCTATTTCTGCTACTACAGGGTGCAGATCCTGTCAGATATGACTCTGGGGAGGGGTAGGGCTTATTTTATGGCCCACATGCCAGAAAGATTGGCCATCACAGGACTATACTCTGACTTTGTGTTATAGACAGGTTAATGCTAAATACTTCAGCCAGCTGGGCTCTGTTGGTCTGCGGTGTGAATACATATGTTCCCTGACTGCCACAGTTGTGCCAGCAAAAGCCTCTACTGTAGACATCACTGTACTGGTAAAAACTATCCTTTTTCTGGTATAACTTGTATTACTGGTGGGCAAGGGTGGCTTTACTGTACTGGTGCAGTGCACTTTTGTGCCAATGTCTGTACTGGGACTGCTTTCTCAGTATAGTATACCAGCATTCCTGTATTGGTGAAACATTCCAGTTGTAGGAGACAGCTTTGGTGTTTTCTACAGATTATATATATATAAAGAAACCTTTTTATACACATGTAAAGAAGTATTTTCTACAACAAAGAAGTATTTGCTACCGCTTGTATTTAAACAAAGGCATCAGTGCACATTATATGAGCAATCCTCACCTTTACTCTCTCTTTCCTATATAATGAGTAAAAGGACTGGAGTAACACACATAAATGGACCTTACAAGATCTGAGTCCAGCTGGGAAAGACCCCCTTGATGCAGGAACTCTTGTAGATGTGGATGGGCTACCTTACAAGGATCCCCTTGCAAGCCACGGTACCAAGGGCAAAAAGGAAGGGAATTGTTGGGGACAGAAAGGGCATTGATTCTGAATAAACAGGCACAAGGCAGAGTAGATTCATCAGATGCTGTCAAAAGACATGCACAGAGCAGTATATAGAATGGAGAGAGTAATTTGAATACAAAAGATAGGAAGGTAGAAAGAATGAATGAAAACTGATCTGATGTCAGCTCCAGAAAGACAAAAAGGCTTGTGGCAGAACACTTGAACCTCCCTGGCCACTCCATTGCTGACCACAGGGTAGCTGTTCTTAGGTAGCAAACTTTTAAAGACTGATTTGAACTGGAAATTATGGAACAAGAAATCATCCACAGATTGTGGATTGTGTTAATTATAGTCTAAACAGGGACTATGGATTCTTATCCCATTACCTGGATTAGCTTTTGTGAGCTCTTTGTTCCTATGGCTTCTTTGCTTGTATGCCTCTTCCAGCACTGCCCTCCTCCCCGCTTTCCTTCCCCATCTTCCTCTCCCTTCCTATTTTTTGCATTCAGATCACTCTCTTCATTCTATACACTGCTCTGTGCACATCCTTCCACACCATCTGATGACGTAAGCTCCAGCTCATGAAAGCTTCTGCTATCTCTCTCTCTAATTTAGTTAGTCTATCAAGATGCAAATCTGCCAGCCTTCTGCTTGACTGCAGACTAATATGGCTAACTACATCTCTCTGCTCATAAATAGGGACAGGCAACGTTAAGCCACTGATGTCTCGTTATCGGAATTATTGTACATAAGCTCCTACAAGAAATTGCTTTCCTGGAGCAAAGCATCCAGGGACATAAGGAAGGCAGGAGTTTAGTGTACCGCAATCCTAGCTAGCACAGAACTCAGCAGCAGGCTGGTTAGTAACAACACTAAGACACAGGGATCACTCTAATTCTAAACAATCAAATGAAGACAGCAGTTGGGCGCAGTGACTAAGACAGGGACCATGTTAAGTGGCATGGAACTCCTTTGCTTTCACATCTTGTGCAAAAGGGAAACGAACACATACCTATTGAGAATGCTCACTGGCACCCACCTTCAGCTGTGACTGGTAAAGAAATCTCCATGCAGGCTGCAGACTGGGCTTTTCTGAATGGGGGCCTCCCGGGTCCTCGGCGATTGGCCTTCGAGACATCTGCACTGGAGAGTCGCTTTCCTGACCCACAAGTCTGGGAGGTTGGGCTTGTACAGTGCCCATTCACATGGTCTGTTGTAAAAATAGAAAGATTCAAGGAAGAGCGTCAGTTCTTGCCTTTAACATGTAGGGGAGATGAAAAGGCTGATGCTTAGGAATGACTGAAGATGAATCCTCCCACAGAAAGCAGCATTTGTTCTGCAAGTACATCATAGGAACCACTCACTGAGTGCATCTACATGAGATGCTTAATGCACAGTAGACTGACTGACTGCACATTACAGTGTCATGGCAAAACCCATGCTATTAGGCTAATGCATAGTAGTATTACTCTCCTGCGCATTAACCTTCACGAAAAAAGCAACTGCACTAATGCGCAGTAGGGCAGCCTACTGCACATTTATTTAGTACTTCCTTTTGCAAGTACTATATTTAATGTGCAGTAGCTACTGCACATTAATGAATGTGTAGACACACCCACTGTTTCCTTAAAAGAGTGAATATTTTCTACATATAAAAGGGGGCAAACAACCAAAGTGTCAGCCAGTTAGGCCTGACTGACTCTTCCTGTGCATCATTTTTTCTCTGGTGTAACTCCACTGACTTGACTGAAATCCAAGAAGAGAATCAGACCCACTATTTCTAGATCAAATATTACTGTGGATATTAGCTGTGTATGCTGGAGAGTCTGAGTCCCTGAGTGGTCTCTTGATCTATGCAGATAGAGAGTTCATGGAGATATGAGTGGTAATGCTTACAGTGAGTGTCAGTGAGTGTTGTGACTTCTAATATGCAGAGCATGATTTGGAAAACCAGCCTGCTTTTTTGTTCCCAAAAATAACTAAGGATTATAATTATAATATAATATTAATAATATTATAATTATACTGGGCAGAGTTCATTGGGGTTCCAAATGATTACAGTTAGATATCCCAGGAGCAGATACACATGTGCAAATGAGGCTAATAGCTACCTGCCATTATTTGAGGACATTTGGAATAGGCCACCATTTCTTCAAGTGGTATATTCTGTTTCTATCATATAAGTTTATTTTACTCGGCAATAGCTCATATATAACACAATGCAGCATAAACTCCTTCTTCACCTCATACTTCATGTAACAGGAACATTACTGAATGCAATGTCTGCCTCACAATGCAAGGATCTGAACTTAAATAAACATCCTTTAAGCTATTGTGAAAGGAGTACTCAAGTGTGAGAGAACACAGACAATGTTAAATAAAATTGGAATTGGCATTTGTTGTAACTGAACCTTAAATGCGAACATCAGAGCTGAATGAGTAGTTCACAATGAATAATTTACATGCCGAATTCCACTTCCTTCCCTAAATTGTGAAATGCCTTTGCCCTATTTGTGAGTAAACAAATCACAGCATTTTAAACTTACACGCTATTTCAAACCATTCTAATTTTTTTTCCACTGAATAAGTACTTGTCTGTAGATCATTCACATTTAGTGCCAGGTACACAGTTTATGTCATAACTTATATAAATATCATATAATGAACAAAATACAAATTCAGAATTTGGCAACGTGTACGATAATTACAAATCATAACAATGTCAATCTCATACACATAACTAAAGTCAGAACCGGACTTTTTAAGGTTTTGATTATTCAGATAATACAATTAGACTTTTAGACATTATATAGAAACTTCAAATTCCTCTTCTTTTAATAGTCCTAAAAAATGATAAACTTTATACCAGGATAAAATGATTTTGTATATACAAAACTTTCCTATGAGAACATTTTTAAGATTGCAAAATCAAACACCCAAAAGTTAGTAAATGGATACATTAAGGCTCCCTATGAAACCTTAATTTGGCTTATTTGTACATGTGCCTAATGACAGTCTTGTCATAGAGGATCTCACATTATTTTCCCACAGAAAGACTTTCTAAGCCAGTGATTCTCAACCAGGGTGCCATGAAATCCTTTCAAGGGTGTTGCAGGCTGCCGCATAATATTAGCACTGCTAGGTGTGCCAACACTTACACATGATAAGCCCTTGGAATTCAAATATTTTTTTTGACACATCGGTCAAAAAATTCTGATGCATTGTGAAGTCTTGGAGTTCTTCAAAGCAGAAGAATTGCTCTATTATTTTTCTGTACTCAAAAACTGAGTGAAAGCTATGAGCTGGCATTTTCTGAGGGGACTCTCAAGTCTAACGATTTTGAGAACCAGTGGCCTAAGCCAGTCAGTCCCAGCCTCTCCTCTCTCTCCCAGGTCTCAGTTCAATTTTCTGCCCAACCAGCCCCAGTCTACCTTCCCTCTTACGGCTCCCAATCTTTTTCCCCAATGCCCAGTTGCAGTTTCCTTGCCCAGCCACTCCCAAATTTCCCCAAACCAGCATCTAGTAGCAGTTTTTCTCTTCCCCTTCCAGCTCCCATTTTACAAGACCCATTGTCCCAATCTATTCCTTTGACTTCTCCCTGGTCTTCTGTATTTGAATCAAACTGCTTCCTTTTGCAGGCAGACAAGGCAATGAGAGTGCAGGTTAGGCAAGTGCACTCACTCCCAGCCTCCAAGTCAGCAGTGCTGCTGCAGGCAGAGGTAGGCACGCAGGGGTACAGGGGTACAGAGGGGTACAGAGATGGCCTCCACCTCACTTCAGCAGGGAGGAAGCTTTTCTCAGCCAGAATGGCTGACCTGCTTGACCAGGCTTTAAACTAAGCCCGCTGGGGAATGGGTGGACAACCACCAAAGCAAGCCCGCCAGGCAATATCTACAAAACCAACAGGCTAGAGCACTCAAGGGATTCGACTCCTATCCCAGCCCTGGAACAGCGTCCTCCGGGGAATGTGAGGAAGCCTAGGGCTCCCAATGGGATGCTTATGTGTCTGTACACCAGTGCCAGGAGCTTGGGGAACAAACAGGAGGAACTGGTCCTCCTACTAAACAAGAAAGACTATGATCTCATAGGGATAATGGATACCTGGTGGGACTCCACCTATGACTGGGCCACAGGTATAGACGGCTATACCGTGTATAGGAGAGATTGTGCAGATAAAAGGGGTGGGGGTGTAGCTCTCTATGTCAAGGATAGCTACACATCCCTGCAACCTAACATTAGCACCCAGGGAGGGTGACTAGAAACCCTCTGGGTTAAAATACGTGGGGAACGTGGTACAGGGGACACAATGGTAGGAGTCTATTATAGACCTCCTAACCAGGAACAAGAGATTGACCAGGAATTCTCCAGGTAACTGGATGAGGCTACATGCTCTCAGTGCATGCTTGTCATGGGAGACTTCAACTACCCAGACATCTTGTGGAAAGAGCACTCGGCTGAATCCAAACAGTCGCAAAGCTTCCTCACGTGTGTGGACGAACTCTACCTGACCCAAGAAGTCTACGGACCCACAAGAGGTAAAGCGCTGCTGGACCTGGTACTGGCTAAAGGGGATGATCTAGTGAGCAACCTAAAGATCACAGGAAAGCTGGGAGACAGTGACCACGAGCTAGTTACTTTTACTATCTGTTGCAAAACTGGCAAGTCAGTCAGCAATGCAGAAGGCCTCGACTTTAGGAAAGCTGACTTTGATAAGCTCAGGAGGCTCGTTGTCAAGGCACTAAGGGACCAAGACTCAGCAGGGAGAGGAGTCCAAGAGGAGTGGTCACTCCTTAAGGGAGCAATCCTGGAGGCACAAGGGATGTCCATCCCATCTCGGAGGAAAGGTACCAAAAAGGCACAGCAACCCCCTTCGCTCAGCAGGAAACTCGTGGACCTCCTACGCCAAAAAAGAGAGGCTCATAAAGGATGGAAGATAGGAATCACCACAAAGGAGTATTACTCTGCACTGGTCCATACCTGTAGGGAGCGAACAAGGAAAGCCAAGGCTGCAACTGAACTCCACCTGGCTATACATATCAAGGACAATGAAAAGTCCTTTTTTAGATATGTGGGGAGTCAGAAGAAAAGCAAGGGTAACACTGGAGCCCTGATAAACCAAATGGGACAACTCACAACCGACACACAGGAAAAAGCTGATTTGCTTACTGGATACTTTGCATCAGTTTTTCATCAGCCCAAAGGATCTACCCTGCCTAACAAGATGCGGGACAGCCAGGGTGAGGGTGAATTTATACCCAGCATTGGTGTAGACCTTGTAAAGGAACACCTTGAGAGGCTGGACACCTTCAAGTCAGTGGATCCTGGTAGATTGCACCCCAGAGTACTTAAGGAGCTGGCGGGAGTCATAGCTCAGCCACTGGCAAAGATTTTCGAAAACTCCTGGCGCTCAGGTGAAGTACCTGAAGATTGGAAGAAGGACAATGTGGTGCCCATCTTCAAGAAAGGGAGGAAAGTAGATCCAGGGAACTACAGGCCAATCAGTTTGACCTCAATCCCTGGTCAGATTCTGGAAAAAATCATCAGAGTCCATTCTTGACAAGCTGGATGATGGCAACATCCTGAGGGACAGCCAGCACGGGTTTGTTGCGGGTCAGTCTTGCCTGACCAATCTCTTCTCCTTCTATGACCAGGTGACATATCACCCGGACAAGGGAGAAGATATTGATGTCATATATCTGGACTTTTAAAAAGCTTTTGATCTGGTGTCCCACAATCTCCTCTTGGAAAAATTGGCCAACGGTGGTCTCGGCTACATCACAGCCCAATGGCTAGAGAATTGGTTCCAAGGCTGGACTCAGAGAGTGGTGGTCGACAGAAGTGAATCATCATGGCGCTCTGTGACCAGCGGTGTCCCCCAAGGCTTTGTCCTTGGACATGTTTTCTTTAACGTCTTTATCAACAATGTGGATACTAGTGTTAGCAGTGGACTGGCCAAGTTTGCCAATGACACCAAACTTTGGGGTAGAGCGTCCATAACGGAGGACAGATTGGTGATCCAGGCTGACTTGGATAGGCTGAAAAAGTGGACAGATACAAACCTGATGACTTTCAATACTGACAAATGTAAGGTACTCCACCTTGGGAAAAAAACCCTCAGTGTGCTTATAATCTTGGCAGTGCTACGCTTCCTAGCACCAACAGCTAAAGAGAGTTGGGGGTCATAATTGACCACAAGATGAACATGAGCCA